TTTTTTTTTTTTTTTTTTTTTTTTTTTTTTTTTTTTTTTTGTATTTTAGTTGCTGTGCATATTCGTTTTATTGACGCCGCGACGAGTTTTTATTATGATGGCGCATGTTACGCGCAAAAGTTAATATTAGCCTTATATTTGTTGACTCCCCGTTCCGATAACGCTGTATCAGAGTGTGTGTGTTTTTTTTTTTATCCACCAAGTAAAGAGAGGAAGATATCTAAACTTTTTTTTTATAACAAGACGATGCGCGTACGATCGCGCGCGTTCAGACCTTGGTCATGTTTGTTTTTAACATTTCCTTCCTTCTTCGAGGATGATGAGATAATGTTGTTTTTAGAGTCGCGGGTCCCAGAAATGTCTCGAACCGACCCTGAGATCGCGCGCGACGACGACTCCACGCGAAGACGGTTGTGTCACCACGTTCTCCAATACCGAGGACAACATTATCTCTCTCTTTTCCTCTCCCTCCTTCGAGTCGACCGAAAAACACATCGCAATGTGTCATCAAGATTGCTTTTGAAATTTGGAAGCGCTGAGATCACACACAACATGTGTGTAAAGACGCACACACGTAAGATCGCGGTTGCACGCGGTTTTATCCTCTCTCTCTCTCTCTCTCTCTCTCTCTCCCGAGATAATATCGCGTTGTGTTCTCGCGAATCTCGATTTATCTCGCTCGGGAAACGAGGCAAGACTTTCGAGAAGAGCGCGTACAAGTACAACGCGCGTGTGTGGATGATTATCGCGCGCAATCTGACGCCGTGCCCGATAAGTCGCGTTACGCGCGTCGCGATAAGGATTCTCCTTTACTTGTGCAAGAGAGATCTCTCAAGTAGGTATATATTTTAGCGCGAAGAGAATCTTTTGCCGTTTCTACGCTACTTCTGTTCTCTGTTGTGACAACTCGGGAATTTTTATTTACTTCGGTTGTTTGCGTTTTATTAACGCGAGGAATTTAATTTACGATGTGCTAATAGAAGCGAGACAACTTGGCAGTTGTTACGCGCACCAGCGGGTTTTTGTCGCTTCAAAAATTGTCCCACGCGGAAAATGTTCTATCCGAGAGAAAACCGCGCGCGCAAAATTTCGCGCGTTTCGATGCACACAACATTTGTTCTTCTCTCTCTCTGTATATATATAAAAAGATTTAAATACGTTATCGCGTAACCGTAGACTTCGTATCGACATCTTGCTCGAGATGTTTTCTTCGTGCGTTTTAATTTAAACTCTCAATTAAAAGATATAAACTTTCCTCGCGCCGCAGCTTGTGTCGAAATCAGAAACTCCTTGCGCGAGAAAGAGCATTTTCCATTTTATCGTAATTGTCGCACTTTATCGGACCGAGAAAGAGAGAAAGGTCGAACGAGTCGCGACCGACACGCGCGAACGAAATTAAAACGAAGTTAAAAAACGTTAAAAGCCCGAGCGATATTTTTGCGCGAAAGCGACCACGCAGTGCACAGTCTCACACTAGAACGGAACTCGTGAAAAACTTTCGTTTCGCGTGGGATTCGGAGATAAGACAGATTGACCATTGTGCGAGAGCGAAATCGGTCGGTTTAAATCCGAGCCACGTGTTTGGAAACCGGGTGTTTGAAGAGAACACCTAACGTACCATATGCGTATGCATTTATACGTATAAAGAGTCTTTCATTACACGACATTTCTTTCATAACTTCGAAACCTCGCGCGATTCCTCCGAGTCTCGCTCTCGACCTCTTTACAGACTGTACACGTGAGACACGTGAATAAAAATTAATACACGTATCGAAAAAATGACGTCGAATAAAGTCGCGTCTTCACGCGCAAAACCTTACAAACGTTGTCGCCGGTACAAAGCGTCGTGGTCAGAGGATAACAGTCGGAACTTGTTGCTGTCAGTCACGTCGACGGGGAAACCGGTTCGAAAGACTCTCTCTCTTTCTCTCTGTTTCTTTCTCTCTCTCTTGGTGAGGCCGGTGTTCTCGAGTCGAATAAATGTGAGAAGTCGCGCGACGAACGTTGTTCGAAAGAGGCTAGACGTCGTGAGGAGAAAAACGGAGATGTGTTTCGGCGGAGAGGAGCGATGGCGACATCATCGTCGTCGTCATTTGCCGACGTCGGAAACAACGACGGCGTTGAGCTATTAATAATGATCGGCCGGGTATCGCGGTATCGAACCGTGGTAGGTAGATGTACGGAAGGTTGAACACCCGTTGACCTGTGATAATCCTTTGCCGATTAGTTCCCAACTGTAGACAGAGGCGGCGCGGTTTTAGAAACGGTCGACCGACGGGAAAGCGCGCGTCCCTAGGAGAGACGCGCAAAGAGACGCGGGGAGAGGCCTCGGGTCCGGGGTGATGAGGGTTCGTAGAGGGAGGAGGGACGAACCGGTTGCTCGCGAGTTTAAAAAGGTGCGACCGGGTCAGGCCAGAACTCTCGAATGCGCACGGACATTTTCGTATGTAGCGTTGCCGCATATATATAAACGTTAAATTGGACAATAAAACAAGCAAAGCATCCATGGCGCAAGTTACAACGTTACTGCGCTTATAGACTTATATTTGAACAAGCGGCTTACAAGCGACCAATTGATCATTGGCCGCGATGTAGATCTTTCTCAAAGAGAGAATTGGCGGAGAGAACCAGATGTATTTAATATGTTGGAAACGTATTATATTGTGAATGTGACTTGAGAGTGGCACAAAAAAAAAATTACACAAAGATTCTTTTTATAAAATGAAAGAATATTCCAGTATAGTAATTTACATGTCGCAAAGACGAAGTCTCATAATTTGCATGTATTTTGCCGCTGCCGTTTGCGCGCTCCGATCATATATTGCTATAGGACGAGACACACACAAGAACCTGTGGGAGTTCGGCTTGAGCTGTTTAGAGAGTTATAAACCCTGGTTTTGATTCTCTACCCCACAGGATGCGCGCGTCCACGCGCGCTCTCTATTGATTCCATGACCCGAACCGGCGAGGCAATTTGTCGAAGGGAAGGCGCACGCTAGTTTCTTACGTAAAACGTCTCTCGTAAAGAAGAGACAATTCGGTTCTGTATCAGCCAAGTCGATACGACAATTCTGCGATTGTAACGCAATCAGAATCGAAGTTATTTCCGTGTGACAGTAATATCGCGTACGTATGATCGTATGATATTATAGAACGTGTAAATTTTCATCGACAAAAAAAAAACGCTCTCGTGTCCAAAGGTAAACCACCATCTCTCCACACACACATTTCTGTGCTCTACATGCAAATTATTTAATAAGTTTCTTCACGCTCCGCGCGCGCTTTCACGCGAACTTTTGCATGGATTGTGTCGCGAAAATGCAATATATATGCGCGCCGCGCATATCCTTGGGGCGATATTTATTTGGGGCGCTATTAATAAGCGTATTCGTATGTAGGTCCCACTGGAAATACATGTCGACCGCCGCCAGTGTATTTCCATTTCTAATTTGGTTCCGTATCTTTCCGTCCTCCTTCCTCTTTCTCTCTCTCTC